GGCAACACTGGGAGGAGCGCTTCATTTGCAACTCAGGGCAGCGCAAGCGGGAGGAGCAAATTTGGCTTGTTTTGTTTTTATAATCGTTCAAAACTCAGATCGTAATCGTGATTAAAATTCGATTAATTGTGCAGCCCTACTGGACAAATAATGTCCATAGGCTCGAGTCATACGTTTTTGTTTCCAAATGGAAGGTTCCCACCACCGCCATTTTGACCATGTCACGCATCGCGTCACGCTCCCAGACAATCCAAAAATTTAAGACCAGATGTTTGTTTTCTGTTTGAATATTACCGTAATTTCCGGACTATAGAGCGCACCTCAATATAAGATGCACCAGCAAAAAATAAGTTTTTCTACACACACGCCGCACTCGAATACAAGCCGCGGCGCAGCAGCCACATGCAGGTCTCCGGCGCACAGCGCATGTACGGCCATAACATAAGATAATTAGACAGAAAGATGCTACACAGAGGTTTTTTGTTTTAATTCATCAAAACAAATTTTAAACACGGGTGAACGTGCCTGCAAGTTTAGAAAAGAAAACAGCACTGATAGCATTCATATTTCTGGATGGTTGTAAAATAAAAACAGAACTGACACGTTATTACCGGTAATTTGCATGTTTAGAAGAAAAGAACAGCGCTGACACAGCATTAATAAGCCCTGGATGATTAGAAAATAAAAACTGCACACAAAACATGCCTGGTTAGTAAATAAAACACACGCCTACCAGAAAAAGTCATTCACTCTCATCTTCCTCTTGCTCACTAAAGCCATTAAAGTCCTCTTCAATGTCGGAGTCGAACAGCCTCAGAAGAGCTTCGTCACATACCTTTTCTGTGTCGATGTCAGTGTCGCTGTCCGTGTTGCTGTCATCATCCCCGGGTGAAGCTGGCTTGAATGAGTTCTTCCCGCTGCCGTCTCCAGCGCCGAACCATGGATTCATTCATGCCAAGCTTACGTGCGGCAGCACTGTTTCCCTCCTTTACTGCCAGATCGATGGCCTTCAACCTAAATGTGGCAACAAATGAACTCATACGTGTAGTTACCATGATGGGGGGGTATGGATTTGAAACAAATTTTTGTCGTGCCGGCTGCTTGCATGTGCTAAATTAAAATGAGCACTTTCTTCGATTTCCACTTTTGACTTCCACCTGTTTCACTTTCTGCTAAAGCGCCCCCTGGCAGGTGAAGGAAAATCTTCAGTAAAGCCGCACCTCATTATAAGCCGCATGGTTCAAAGCGTGGGAAAAAAGTAGCGGCTTGTAGTCCGGAAAATACGGTAATTCATTACTCAGTTATCAGGTTAGCTATAGATTCAGACAACTGTTGCTTGTGTGCGCATGCGTGCGTGCATGAGACAGATCACCAAATTTAAAGATTGACTCGGCCATACCTGCAGACGTTTCTTATGAAACACCATCTCTGATCTCAGTCTTTGCTTACATATTTCTGTTTGTTTGAAGTTTACCAAATATGTCCTAAATTATTTTACCACAAAGCTTTGACGAGTCTAAAACATATCGTTATCTCTGTATTGAAAGATAAATTCCCTGAGATTGTGATCATCTGTGAATTTGAGGGCTTTATCCTTTATGCGTCTCTGATGCTTCCTGTATTTTTTCCTGTCAGTGAGTAAGTCACAGGATCTGATCTGGCCTGTCATAGAGGCTTATGCAATGTCTTGTGTGCGTGGGTCTTCATCCGCAACATTGTCTGAGGGTTTTGTTAGTGCTTCCTGCAGACAGCCAGCCATTTATCTCAGCACCACAATCACTATGTGGAAAGTTATTTCTGGAGGCTGCTGTGTTTTATCCTCTAGCAGCTAAAAATACTGCCTTTACCTCGCTGGTCATGGACTTCTGATACAATCAGTATTGTTTTTGATTAGCATGTTTAAGTGATGTTATTGTTGTGTTTAATACTCAGTACAGGCTGGTTAGTGGTTGGATGGACAGTTTTATAGACATTCAGAGACACAAACACTCAAACAGCTGCAGGGACAGCCACGGGAAATGGTGTCACCACTGATTTGTGTTATGAGAGGAGGGTCACCTCTGTGGCAGCTGTTCTGGGGGTGCAGTGTTGGCATGCCCCTCAAACTTGCAATCGCCCCGTCTGCTCTGCTGTAGCACAAAGCCAGGGTTTTCTTCAGAAGGCACATGTGCTACAACGACTCACCCGGCACACACTGAGGCACCCAGGCGGACGCACGACTAACCCCATGCGGGCCAACAGCACCGTCAATCAAACGTTTCAGCACATCAGATTCAAGTTGCGCTGAGGAGAATGGCATCTTGCTGTTGGCTTTACCTAAAAGGATCTAAAAGCAATTTAAGTGAAACGATTACCTTGAGGAACAACCAAAATTTTATTTAGTTAGTTTTTTATTTTTTTTTTTTATTTATTTATTTTTTTGAATCCAGGAAATCTTGACAGAATAGCTTTTTTGGGGCGTCTTTCGTTGTTTGTGGTGACTGGAATGTAGAGTCAGACCTTCAGATTCAGACCTGTATGGCGTAATATCCCTATATCATTAAAACATTCCTGAGAGAGTGATGTGATATGTAGCTGTGTAACAGGAGCAGCTTTGACAGTTGGTTCGGCTTGGCTGCAGCAGTTGTATTCTAACACACACACACACACACACACACACACACACACACATTTATGAACTCCTCCAACACACACAGAAGCAGTGTAGGTCAATAGGACCTCTCCCTCTAGAGGAAAACCATCTGCTGTTGACCACAGCATTGGTTTAGTCCTTATACTCTCTCTCTATCTCACTCACACACACATACTTGTCTCTTTATCCTTTTGTGGACACTCCATTGGCTTCCATTCATTTTTTGGGACTCCACTATGTCTAACACATACCCTAACCATAACCAATGCTCTTCTATTCCTAACCCTAATCCAAAATTTCATTCACACCATACCTCTAAAGCCACGTTTAAGAGTGTTCTGACATTGTGTGGACCAGCCAAATGTCCCCACGATGTGGAAATGTCCACACACCACAAGTTAAAATTTAAAATTTGGCCACTTAAGCATATGAAGACAAGTACACGCACACGTTCAGCTCAGCTTTCCTCCATGCCATATTCCCTCAGCTCTGTGCATGCCCCCCTCCCTCTTGTCCTTGTGGTGTGCCCCCCCCCCCCCCCACACACACACACACACACACTAATTTTTGCCATCACTTAGTGTGCATTAGACTGCAGAGACCAACAGTCACAGATGTCTCTGCTCTCCACGTGGACCTTGGAAGTCTCTTCACACTCAGGCCACAACAAACCCAGAAGGAGGTTTTCATCAGCAGGCTGCTAATCACTGCTGTAATGTCAGACATTTAAGCAACAGGACATCTTTGGTAAATAATATTTCCGGGAGTTAAGTCCATTCGGGTTTTCACTGAGAAGAAGATGGCGTAGAGAAGTGGCCCCCAAGTTAACTTTGTCAGGAGGATGTATTTTTCAGTTTTTGTTTTCTGAGACGACAGCGCTGAGAAAAACCAAAGTATTTCTGTACACACTGGAACCAGTCGCTAACCGGGCTGAAGTAGAAGATGTACTGGGAGTTGTGGCTGAGTCAGGTTACAGCCAGCGCTGCGTTGCAGTGTAAGCTGCTTCAGAACAAAGGTGGGCAATTCTGTTTGATTTGTTTGTTTTGTTACTAGTTCTCTAAAGAAATTAGTGTAGAACACAACATGAAAATCATCTGTCACACATCAAAGAGCTCTGAGGCATTATCAATGCATCATCTTTAAATGAGTTGCAATGAAATCAACAAACAAAAGTAAATAGTGTTGTGTTTTTGTACTTTTTATGCTTCTCCATTGAGTTTTAAGTCTCAGCCATCAAAATCCGATCCTGCAGACAGTCAGCAGTTTTAAATCACTTCAGTGGCCTAGTGGTAGAGTGTCTGCCCTGAGACTGGGGGATTGTGGGTTCAAACCCACTTGTGACTGGTTCTTCCCAACCCAATAATCCTATCTTCCAAGAAAATGATGAATTGGCTGTTATTAATTCATTTATTATCAGTGGTCCAATTGTGGTGATTTTTGCCATTTGTGTTTGAAAATAAAACTGTGTTTTGTCTAATTTTATCTTTGTGTTGTTCTGTAAAGGACATAAACTACATCTTTCCAGATGAACTCTGAATATCCTTTTTGTTGTCGGCTTGTGGCCTTGAATTGCTTCAGGTGAATATTTAAACAAAGCAGGAGTATTCAGCTTCATGTTTTAAGAGTGAATAGATGTAGTTGCATCTATAATGCCTTTTGTCTGATTTAAGTGAAAGAAAACATGCTTTATGACAGCATCTTCAGCTTCTTCTTTCTTGTTAATCATTCCAGCGTGGTCCTCTTCCAGTCAGTCAGCAGCTGTTCGGACTTGCAGCGGCGTTGGCGGCAGCTGCAGAATCTACGCCTTAGCTATGCGTGTACTAACTAATCATTGTCTCAGTGGGTGTGTGTCTTTTTAACTTCCTGCGTGAATCTTTTCCATCATTTTCTGCTCCTCCCTCTGTTAGTTACTCTCAAACATTAAGAAAAACCACCTCAGATGTTACTGGCTCATTCTGAACAAAGCTACTGCGTGTAGCCAGGGACAGCAGTGCTGTTGGGAGAGTAGATTGGGCTAAGTGATGCTTTTGAGGTGTCTGCAAGCAAGCAGCAGCTTTGAAGATGAGTGGGCTGCTTTGAGCGGCCCTCGTCTCCGCACAGGGTTCAGTCAGGGGACTCGGTCTGGACAGACGGGTAGATGGACAGGTCTGTGGGGGTCATGTGTTGATTTAAATTCCTGTCTGATTTCTTGTAGCCGTTGTATTTTGTCTTTAATAATTGTTGAGTTAGTGAAACTCAGTTTCTCATTAAAAAAAAAACAGAACCACTTTATTTGCATTTACAGCACCAGCTACAGGATGGAGGGTATTGCTTTAGTTGATCTGTGACCTTTGGCGCCTACTGATTCTTCGTTTCTCCTTTTTCCCAGAAGCTCTGACAGAGGCAGTTCGCTGGAGCTCAAAGGAGAACCTACTGGGGGCGGCCGAGAGCGACCCCAACCTCTTTGTTGCACTTTATGACTTTGTCGCCAGTGGAGACAACACACTCAGCATCACCAAAGGTACAAATGTATAAATCGTTTTGGTCACTACCTGTTATTTCACAAATGGGATTTTACATCATTGTGTACCGATTCTTAAGTCTCTCGCTCTACTGCATTCCTTTCATTTATTGTTTTGTATAGTTGTTGTTGTTGCTTGGCAACCTAATTTATACTTCAGCCTCACCTTTGTGAGAAGCACAAATAATGTTGGTTACAAAAGAACAGAGGGAAGATTCATCTGTAAGACCTTCCGGTGGGAGGTTGGGATCGGCACGTTGGCCTCTCATTAATGTATTAATCCAAAGGAATGTTGTTTTTTATAGCTTGTTACATAATCAGGTACCAAACCACTTTTCACTTTCTGACGTCATGTATGACATTAACTTTTGTAGTTGGGGGTGAAAACGGTGCAGACCGAAGGACTCAGACACACATTTCTTGGGTTTTTAAAGCGTTCTTCAGAGATGGTCAGGGTTAAACGTGGCAGGCCTTTAATTCATCTCTGAGTCTTCCGTGTGTGCTGCCTGAGATGGAAACAGTTCAGGCCCTGAGCCAACCTTTGATTCCTCCCCACGTGCGGGCACACGTGTACTCCCAGCCTCCGCTGCACTTGTACTGTCTGTCCCATCATTTATTTACACACTTCCTCTGAGGTTGTATTATTATGAATCTGTAGTAATAACTGGTGGATAAGTGCAGAAGGACGAGGGAGCAGTCACATGTCTGCAGCTTGTTATTGTCTCTTCTTCATGCCAGGCCAAACTAAGCTAAGCTAGACCAGAGCTCTCCATCATGTAGAGCGTGAAGACACGAGGCCGTCAGTGTTTCCAGTCCCACTGCAGAGTAGACGAGTGGCTGTGGATAATTATCTGTTTGTACCTCTGAGCCCGTGGTAGATTCAGAAGCTAAACACGCAGCTCTAGTTGTCTTCCTAGCTCGGTAGCTGTAGCAGATCTGACTGAAACTGTCATTCTCACAGTTATAGGAACTAACGCACCTCACCGTTTCCAAATCATACATGTTTAAAGTCTAAAGGAGGCCAGTGTGTTGCACTTACAGTTGAACAAAAATCTACCAGGCTCAACTTTTACCGCAACACGTGAGAAGCACCTTTGTGCTGATCTTGTAAATTTTTGTCTCTAAGCCTTCAAAGACATAACTTTTAAAACCTGACAGGCCTCCTGAGTCAGATTTCATTGTGTCTCCCTCTTTTAATCATTTTGATTTTGTCCCATCTTACATCCAACTGGCAGCACAGACTGCTGCTCCGTTCAGTGTTTTGGCAGACTGATAACTCCTCTCAGCACGTCGGCCCTCTCCACTCCCTCGTGCGTCTCGCTGACGTCAAACGCAGACAACAGACCAAGTCGCTGCATGCCTGGTTTTGCCTGGCTCTCTATGACAAATATGCCTCTGTCATTGTTGCACAGGCTTTGATTTCTCTAACGGGTGCATTGTTTCCACAGCACCTCCTGCTTTTACATGACTTGTTTTTATAGGATTAGGTCAATTTGGTAACCATTGAAAAATGTTCTAAATGGGAGAGAAAATTAAAGGAGTTGCTCAGTCCTACGAAAACCAACCCTTTCTATTTATGATCAAAGTTAACAATCTGTGCTCATGTCTTTGCACTGGAACTTTTCGAACATTGTTCCTCCTCATGTTTCCAGGTGAGAAGCTGCGTGTGCTAGGCTACAACCAGAATGGGGAGTGGAGTGAAGTGCGCTCTAAGAACGGACAAGGTTGGGTCCCCTCCAACTACATCACACCAGTCAACAGTCTGGAGAAGCATAGCTGGTACCATGGGCCTGTGTCCCGCAGCGCTGCAGAGTACCTGCTGTCCTCTCTCATCAATGGCAGTTTTCTGGTCAGGGAGAGCGAAAGCAGCCCCGGGCAGCTGTCCATATCGCTGCGCTACGAGGGCAGAGTGTACCACTATAGGATCAACACATCCACAGATGGAAAGGTAGACTCGGCCGATTAAAGTGTTAAGCTAAGATTCTTCTAAACCTTTGTTCAAGTAAACATGCCTTTTCTCCTCAGGTGTATGTGACATCTGAAAGTCGATTCGCCACCCTAGCCGAGCTGGTCCATCACCACTCCACCGTACCTGATGGGCTGGTCACCACGCTGCACTACCCCGCGCCCAAATGCAACAAGCCCACAGTGTACGGTGTGTCGCCCATCCACGATAAATGGGAGATGGAGCGTACAGATATCACCATGAAGCACAAGCTAGGAGGAGGCCAGTACGGGGAGGTGTATGTTGGAGTCTGGAAGAAGTACAACCTGACGGTGGCAGTGAAAACACTCAAGGTTGGAGCCCCTTTTTAGATTTCTGGTGAATTTACTTGATCTGTAAGTTTATTTGATAGTGAATAAAGATGGTTATAGAGCGCCACCTGCAGGTGGTAGTAGGTACTCCACGTCATTCCTTAGACTGTATTTTTCACTTATCTGTCCAACCTTTTAATAAGCAGCTGTTTTTTTCTCCCCATTTCTGTGATGTCAGGAGGACACCATGGAAGTTGAAGAGTTTCTGAAAGAGGCAGCTGTTATGAAAGAGATTAAACATCCAAACCTCGTTCAGCTTCTTGGTCAGTATTAATGAACAAGAGGTGCATGTACTGTTATTTTCTACATTTTTCTTGTTTGTTCTGATTTGTATATCACCTGCCACTTCTCCCCCAGGTGTGTGCACACTAGAGCCTCCTTTCTACATTGTAACAGAGTACATGCCACACGGCAACCTACTGGATTACTTGAGGGATTGTGAAAAAGCGGAGGTGAATGCCGTGGCTCTGCTCTACATGGCCACCCAGATTTCTTCTGCCATGGAATACCTGGAGAAGAAGAACTTCATACACAGGTATAATAATAGGATGTGTGCATAAATACATGCTTTTCCTTGCATTTCTTAACTCTTCCCTCATCGTTCCCGATCTTTCCCAAGGGATCTTGCTGCGAGGAATTGCCTGGTGGGAGAAAATCACGTGGTTAAAGTGGCGGACTTCGGTCTAAGCCGGTTGATGACCGGTGACACTTACACGGCCCACGCTGGAGCCAAGTTCCCCATCAAGTGGACTGCACCTGAGAGCCTTGCATACAACACCTTCTCCATCAAGTCTGATGTCTGGGGTGAGTCAAACCCCTACATACACTTGTAGATGATCATTTTTAGGGTTATTCCAGTTTACTCATCTTGGATCATCATGATTATTCTTTCCTTTAGCTTTCGGGGTTCTGCTGTGGGAAATCGCCACCTATGGCATGTCTCCATACCCAGGCATTGATTTGTCTCAGGTCTACGATCTCCTAGAGAAAGGCTACCGCATGGAGCAGCCGGAGGGATGTCCACCCAAAGTGTATGAACTCATGAGAGCATGTGAGTGCCTTTGACTCTTTGCACAACCAATAATTTACTTATTGTGCAACTCAGAGAATTACACTGAGTTTCCTCTCGTCTTTGTTTGCTGAAATATTTGCCATATTTTCTCACCAGGTTGGCAGTGGAGCCCTGTAGACCGACCTTCGTTTGCAGAAATACACCAGGCCTTTGAGACGATGTTCCATGACTCCAGTATTTCTGAAGGTACTGGTTTTTTGTTATAAAGTCGTCTGCTCTAAAATGCAAAAGCTGCTTTTATGGTGCTCTAACAACTGGGCATTGATTTGTTTAAACGTAGGAGCTTGGTCTCATTAACTTTTATTTACAACTTTTCAAGAAGTAAGCAGCCTGGTCAGCTTTTTTTTTTTCTTTCATTCTCCAAGAGAGTGGGATTGATTAGTTTTAGATCAAACCAAACATAAAAGGAATGAAAAAATACAAAATGCAGGGGTGGGAGAATTTTAATGTGAACTGATCAATAAATTACCCGTGCATAAATTGTATTAGATTTGAGAACTGGCTGCCGGTCAACAAACAGCTTTTTCCTTTGCAGAGGTTGCAGAGGAGCTCTGTAAGACGGCCTCTTCTGGGCACTGTGGATCAATGCACCCCTGCAGTCAGGACACGCCCCTTCTGCCCTCCAAGTCCCGCCCACCCCTCAAGCACACAGAAAACAAGGAGAACATCGAGGGCGGACTGGATGGGCACTCCGACCACAGTGCACACAGTCACACAGGTACAGCTAGGCTCCTCACTACCAGCCAGTCGAGCACATGGCTTTATGCTCCTGCAGGTACGCCGGAGGATACTGACACGCAGAAGCAGCTGCGGCGCCGCCAAGCTTGTCGTCTGCGAAGAGCGGGCATGTTCCTCGACAACTGCTCAATCTTGGGTTTACTTCAATAAGCAAAAGTTTCAACACAAATAAGAGATTACTTAGATGGAACTATAAAATTGAAAGTTATTGGAAACTAAAACATGGGCTGCACAGTGACGCAGTGGTTAGAGCTGTTGCCTTGCAGCAAGAAGGTCCGTCTTCCTCCCACAGTCCAAAAACATGACTGTTAGGTTGATTGGTCTGTCCAAATTGTCCTTAGGTGTGTGTGTGTGTGTGTGTGTGTGTGTGTGTGTGTGTGTGTGTGTGTGTGTGTGTGTGTGTGTGTGTGTGTGTGTGTGTGTGTGTGTGTGTGTGTGTGTGTGTGTGTGTGTGTGTGTGTGTGTGTGTGTGTGTGTTGCCCTGCGATGGACTGGCTCTCTGTCCAGGGTGTACCCCGCCTGACTGCCCATTGACCGCCCCCCCCCCCCCCCCCCCCCCAGGATGGATGGATGGAACTATAAAATTGAAAGTAATTGGAAACAAACATTTCAATAAAATATAAACCTGTTTTATATTTCTACATGTTTTTTTTTTCATTATAGAAGGCTTTGGTATCCACTCCCTTCATAAGAGTGTTTTCAATCAATAAACTGAGTCAGTTTCTGTCTTTGATGCATATTTTTTGGTCCTCTTGTTTCAGTTTTTCTGCTGACCATGACAAAGAAAATGCCTCCATCTATTTGAAACGTACAGCTATCTATGAAAGAATATTATTAATTGTATCTACATCATAAAAGTTGCTGAAAAGAACGTGAAGCTGCCTGTTGCATCTTTAACTCACTCTGATGCTTAGTTTTCCACTGTTTTGAGTTTTTGCTTGTTGGTTGCATCCATGTAATAAATGTTTATGTAAATAATGCTTGACCTGATGTATTTATACATGAGTTAATTATTTTTTGCTTTTATTTATTTTTCTAACACTTTCTAACATTATCTGAATATTTTTGTGTGTGAACTGTTTGTCTTTTGCACATTACTAAACTTGGTTTGGCTTTGATGTTATTTATAAACAAAATGCGTGCACCAATAAACTGTTTGCACAAGTTCGTAAATCGAGCTTGAATGTGTTAAAGAAAAAAAAAGTAAAAATTAAAATGAACCACTGAATGTTTCATCCTTGATTGTCTGGCAGTATTAATAGATCATACTTGGAACACAAATCTTAGAAATCAGGGTTTTTGTTTGGATGCGCATGTTGATAAACAGAAAATGAAGACTTTGAGCTTAACTTGGCATTACTTTTAATAAAGTTTATTCTGTTCCCTGAAGGTGTCGGCACAAAAATGAACCCTAACCCAAAAATTCTGCTTCTTGGAACAAAGTCGCTCCATTTATCTAATTAGAAGTTAGATGTGCTTGCCTGGCTCTTCAAGCACGTTTAACATTTTTTTTATGAGAGCAGCTGAATAATTGAAATGTGTTCATATCTGGCTTGGCTTCAAATTCTCCATTTAGTCTCCTAAAGTGCCCCCCCCCCCCTTCCCCCACCCCGTGGCCCACGATTCCCAAAAGAGCAAAAAGAAGTGCTTTACATTGAGATGATATAAGCCTTTTACGGTAACTGCTGCTGTCTGAGTTGTGTTAATGTGTTGAGTTTACTAAAATAACGTTCACTGACGGTTACTTTTTAAACAAAGATGGATGGCCTCATCCTTTGTGATCTTAATCCATTTGTTTCGTCTCTCTTCAGGCTGGACGTCCACCCTGTTTGGAGGGGATGGACGATCAGGCGGATCCCCCGCTGTTCCCCGGAAACTTCAGTCACGAGATAAATCTCCCAGTGGCCTTTTGGATGACGCACAGGACATCGGCACATTTACACGAGACCGTAAAACTGGCTTCTTTAGCTCCTTCATGAGGAAGAAGTCTTCCTCTTCCACCACATCATCTTCACAGCTTCAGCAGAACCTTCCAACACCGCCCAAGAGGAGCAACTCCTTTCGGGATATGGAGACTCAGCCTCACAAGAAGTATGAACCCACAGCTGATTTCAGTGCCCCCCCTCCTCTGCCCCAGTCAGGCAGTTTAGGGGGCTTCTTTGCCTCTCCTCCTCACTCCCACGGGGAACCAACCCAGGCTCCGTCCCGCTGCTGTGGAGGTGCTTTTGGACAAAAACCTTCAGGTGGAGTTCTTGGTTCTCAGGTGACGAGTGGCAGCAGCTGGGGGGGGCTGGCTGGCTTCTTCACCCCCAGACTCATCAAAAAGACCCTGGGGCTACGGACTGGAAAGACGGCCTCTTCAGAGGAGAGCGGTGGTATCGTTGGACCAAAACCTTTCCCTAGGTCCAATTCTACCTCCTCTATGTCATCTGGGTTGCCAGACTTGGAACGCATGGCTCTGACATTACCTAGAAACCACAGTGCTAAACCCTCCCTGGAGAGAACTGCCTCCACATCTTCTCAACCTGAGAACGGGGCCACACGGCCCTCAGAAACTGTGTTGAGGAGGATGGACGAGGGAACTGCACAGATCAGGGAAAGGCCAAAAGCTAAGCTATTAACCCGGGGTACTGCTGCGGGGGTGAGGGCACCAGGGGTTGGAGGGGAGGTGGGGGAATCAGATGGTCTGTCTCGGCTCAAAGAAGGCAGAGAAGAGAGTGGAGGGATTGAGAGGCATCAGAGCTGGTCGTCTCCGTCAAAGAACTCTGGTCTAACATCAGCTCCAACAGGAACACCAACTCACAACCACAAAGTTCCGGTCCTGATCTCCCCCACGCTGAAGCACAGCTCAGCCGACGTGCACTTAGTTGGACTGGATTCTCAGGGGAACCGCTTTAGACTGCTGACCGACCACCAAGGAGAGCGAGACAGGCCGCGGCTTGTCAAACCCAAGTGTGCTCCACCTCCTCCTCCCCCCACTCTGCGCAGTCTGCAGCAGTCCTACAGCGGAGACGGGGAGGAGCAGGTCAGCACAGCGCCTGTAGAGGTCAACGGGGACACGTTTAAAGGTCACAGGTCAGGGCGAACATCAGGAGGAGTGACGACGGGTAGACCGTCAGTGCCACCACCGCAAGTGCCTCCTGCAATTTCCTCCATCTTTTCCTCTTCCTGCCCTGCCAGCACCAACACAACTCCCGCCAAAATGGCCAACGGGGCTGCCACCACCACTGCCTCCACCCACACAGCACCAACGTCTGGTTCCAAAGTGGCCCTGCGGCGGGCCCGGCAGCAGGCAGAGCGGGTGCCCCTGGAGCGGGTCAGCCGCGAGACCCTGCTGGAGTGTGTCGAGGGCCTGAGCAGCACACTCCACGCCAGCTCCGACAGCCCCTCCAGCAGCCAGGTGCTGGACGCCGGCCACCAGCTGCTAGACTACTGCTCAGGTTACGTGGACTGCATCGCTCAGATGAGGAACAAATTTGCCTTTCGAGAGGCAGTGGGCAAGCTGGAGCTCAGCCTGCAGGAGCTGAGGGCCTCATCTTCTGGAGGCGGGGGGCTGAGTGGCGTGGGCTCCAACACGGTGCTGGAAAACCTACACAACTGTATTAAAGAGATTAGCGATGTAGTGCAGAGGTAGCCACTGTGATGTCACTAACCGTCACCTCTTCTTACAAGCAAATCACTTACTCTGTTTTCTATGTTTCTGGTTCCATCAACAGCTTTTTGGGGGACGAAATGAGTTACATCTTTACCTCAGAAATCACTACGAAATATTATCTTTTTATTGTTTACAAAAATCTGTATCAAAGAATTCCAGTGAGGACACTAACTTTGCTCTCAGCTGTACATACGGAGGAAAGTAACACCAAGCTAAATGTCACATCATGCCATGTTTTGCTGTGAGTTTTTGTTTGGCCGTGAAAAGCCCCTTTGTCAACTAAATGTGGAGCGGATCGGCGGTGTGTCTTCAGCCAAGGGAGAGGCTAAATCTCACTCTGCTCATGTGTCACGGCAGTGATTGTGGTCAGCTTTAGCCAACAGGAGGAGAAGAGCATTTTTCCTCATGGTAAACTAAACGTTTCACAAGAATGTGGCTCATCAGTTAGATGGATTGTGTTTCACGGAGCGTTGCGCTTCTTTTTAACTGGGTACACTGATCAAAAGCCATTTTAAAGTGTGAAACCAGCATATGATTCAAGGTTTGGGGTCTCAAATTGAAATTTTTGTTTTGTTAGAATATATATATATTTTATCATTTTCATTTCAGTCCGTTTTCATGACTTCAAAATTTTACAACTGTTAAAGCTTATTTTTAAGGGAGACTAAAAATGTGACATTCCTGCTCCTCCAACTAAAGACTGAAAAGAGCTTCAATACTAGGCTCGTATGGCACAGTTGCACCAGAAGGACTTAAAGGTGACTGAATGTGGGGGGGGGGGGGGGGGGGTCTTCAATGACACAGCCTTGATCTTTGCTCCAGTGACGTTACTGATTTTCACATTGTGAAAATCCCCCTAAAGCATTTCAGTAGAAACATTGAATGATTGTTGCACATTTAAGTTTCTTTTCCCCCCAAGATCAAGTGAGGAGTCGAGTAGGAAAGCACAGGGTTAGGGTGCGAACTGGTCAGCTGGTGTTTCTTTAAGTGTCCTTCGCCGTATGGACATGCTGGATTACCTGTAGCCTTGTCGTGGCCCGAGTGCCTGAAACGCTAAACGCGGCGAGCAGCAGAGACCTACTTCACGCTAACCGCGCAGGACTGAAGTGTCAAGAAACTGCAGTACATGTCTTCAGCACACCTGTGGGTTTGTTTGATTTTAAAGGCTTTCTGGAATGTATGAACTAGAATTCTAAATTATTTTTGTTCAAAGCACAGACATATTTTGAGAGAGTTATGGAAATATTTGATTTATTTCATATTCATGGGTAAGAGTTTTTGTCTAGAGAGAAGCGTTTCAGGGCTGAGGTTGGACCTGAACGTGCACTTTGAATGTAATAATCTGGCATTTATCCACACAAAGTTGGTCCACTTTTTGTGGCTCAAATTTTTTTTCTATTTATTTTATTTTATTTTTTCAATTACTGACCCTTATATTAATTTTAATCTTGCTAATTACCAGTCCGAAGATGGCTGCTCTGTTTTTTGAGCACACACACACTACTAAGAGAATTTATCGCACCTGTTTGATGTGCTTCTCATCTTGACGTACACTGGATAAGGCCTCAGACACATCTGTTCAACGACACATAGACTGCATACAAATACTACAAAAACTAATCGCAGGTTCAGTTTCAGTGATGCAGCTTCTGCACTTCATTTCCTTAATTCTTGTTTGTAGAAATCCTCCTGTTAAAGGCATTTTGACTGATTGGACTCTCGTTTCCCTTCACTGTGAGTTAAATGATGCGGATTATAAATTATTTTTCATCATTTTTGGTGCCTTTTTTGTAGAATAAAGTATTTATGTTCAGTACATGTTGACTGCAACAGTAAAATAATGTTTAACTCGATTATTTGAACATGGATTTGTGATCAGATCACTCACTGCAATATTTCTTCTGGAGGTTAATGGTCCCATGCAAACTTGAAACCAGTCAGTGCACTTTGTTCATTTTATCGTGTATGGTTCATAACACTAGTAGAGATACACCAATAAATACTACACACAAGCATGCAGCACTCACAAACATCTGATTTCATCCAGATTTGATCATCTGTGAATGACTGACTCATGTCACACTTGCTTCTTCACCTGTTCTGTGTCTGTTGTGTATTTTATTGCATCATGATAAAGCAGATTTTCCCCAAAAAGCCTTATCAAAAACTGACCCGATCGATCAGTAATCCTCATCACATCTAATGTCTAAATTCAAGCTGCTTTATTCGTAAACTGACCACAAAGATTTATGCTCATTCTCTGTAGCTTTGTTTTTGTGTGTATGCTTTTTGCTTTGTCTCTTTTTTTGTGTCTCCCTGTTTTGGGTTCTGGAGAACGTGTACACATCATTATACCAAAGGCCACGTCTTCAGTTGGATGAGTGCAATGTAAAGAAATACACAAAGACATCATGGTGGAATATGTGAATCTAAACAGGGATTTTAAAAAATGTCAAATGTTGTTGTTTTTTTCTAAAATGTACAAAAATATTTTGTTTTGCTGTTTTTTTTTTATTTAAATCTCACATGACTGTGAAGTTCTGCTTATCAGTGTTAAGCGTATTGTAAATAATAAAGACATTGATGAATACTGCTGTGGAGCTCTTGAGTTAATGTTTGTTAAAGGAATAAAAAAATACTTCTAGTCTAAACAAGGATGTTTTACAAATGCACAACTACTATTGGGTACTTTAATGTCACATGAGTTTTTTAAGTTTACAGTGCTCAGCATAAATGAGTACACCCCCTTTAAAAAGTACAAATTTTGCTCAATGAACAAGGCTGGTTTTATTGAACACTTGTTTAACTCAATAACATGAAGGTTAATAATATAACTTAGATAACTAAATCTTCACTTTTATTAAAATTGGTTGAAGCAAAAATGAATCTGATTAAGCATAATATGCCGTGTCACTCACGGTTTATTAGGTCATCAACGGCTGTGTCATTCTCATCTTTTGTTAATCTTCCCTCCTCTCCTGTGAACTCTGGTAACCCTGATGAGCTGCTGCACTCCTTCCTGTCTCTCTGTTTTGGAGCAAGTGGCACCTTTGAGGCTGCAGCATCGTGAGAGCAGAACTGATCATGGCTTAACTCTGATACTCGTTCTGCTAGATGACGACGGTGGCACAAGAGTTAAGTGCTCGCCCGGTAATCGGAAGGTTGCAGGTCCGAGCCCCGCTCAGTCTGTTGCTGTCGTTGTGTCCTTGGGCAAGACACTTAACCCACGTTGCCTGCTGGTGGTGGTCGGAGGGACCGGTGGCGCCAGTGCTCGGCAGCCTCGCCTCTGTCACTGCGCCCCAGGGCAGCTGTGGCTACACTGTAGCTCATCCCCACCACTGTGTGAATGGGTGAATGACTGATTGTGTTGTAAAGCGCCTTGAAGGGTTCCAGGACTCTATATCAAATACAGGTCATTTACAGGCCATTTGTATGTGCGGAGATGGAAGAACAGGGATCCAGCTACTTTAATTTTATTGAAGGAGTTCTTCCAGGACGCTTCCAGGGAGTGGTAAAGATGGCTCAAAAAATACTTTTCTGACATTATCAGTATTCATTCTGGTAATCAATTCATTATTTTCCACTGAGCCTTCTCTTTCCAATGCTTCAGATGATCTTAGCTCTAGGTTTCTTAGATTTTTTGTTTCTAAGATCGCCAACATCAGAGCCTTGATCACTCTCGCTGGTTGCCTCTCCTGGATGTGATTCCTCTCAGTTTTCAAAGGATCACTTTGAGCCCATTTATTTTTCTTTGCTCTCCGATCTGGTGGCAGGGCTGAAGCCCTCTGGTTCTCCGACTGACGTGATGCCTCCACGTCTTCTTAAGGAGGTTTTTCCAGTGGTTGGCCACTTTATTTTAAATATTGCGGATGGGAGTTTAACCTCTGGAGTTGTTCCCCAGGCTTTTAAACAGGCAGTAGTCCAACCAGTTTTGAAGAAAGCTGGTTTGGACTCTACCTCGATGGGAAACTCCCGCCCCATCTCGAAGCTTCCATTTTTATCTAAGCTTCTCGAGAAAGCTGTTTTTACACAGCTCTCTGACCACTTGCAGACTTTTAATATTTTAGACCCTTTGCAATCAGGGTTCTGTCCCAGTCATAGCACTGAGACTGCCCTTCTTAGAGTTTTTAATGACGTTCTGCGGTCCACTGATTCCGGCTCCCATGTTCTACTGGTGTTGCTGGATCTCACAGCTGCTTTTGACACCGTAGAGACCATGCTTTACTTCTCATCAGAAGACGATCCTGTTGGTTTTAACTTCCGTGGACAGCCTGGATGTCTCTGTAAGATGGTTGCACTTCAGTTTTTCTTATGGATCACTTTTGCTACAGTATTGTAACCTGTGGCTCCCTGAAAAACTGAGTATCTGTATTCAAATATATCAGCGCGGAATACTTCTTCAGGGTTAAAGTGTTGTGGGAGCTACAGGATTAAATGTGTCTCATTTCCTAAAGTTTCTTGCTTTTTGTTCCTTTGAACTCTATTGCTGGGTTCTTAGCAGTGGTAGCTCATTATCTGAGGTTTGAAACCTCCAACCAACAAACCACACACACAACAATCAATTCAATAAATTAAATATATTGAAGTATGTAACAGTTTGTAAAATTCATCATAAAGGAAACAAATGCTAAATTCCCTCTCCTTGAGGGTTCTTAGAGGAATGATAAAATCGAACAATCAATAAATAGATAAATAAATAAATAAAACCAATTGTCCTTTAACAATGTATTCAGGACTATGTCACAGTCTTCTTGCTTTTGGGCAAATGGATAATTCAGTCCATTAAAATGTTGGAAAGTTGCCAAAAATAAGTGTCCAAACCCTTTGTGGGAGTTTTTTGTATTATGGTATCCCATAGAAAATGTTGATTTTGAGAGGTTTTCTGACAAATGTAGTGGGGTGTACTCCTTTATGCTGAGCACTGCATTTAAATGATTATTGAACATCTCAAACATTCATCCACATGTGGTCGTTCCTCCAGATTAACTTGTTGACATTATCATACATATATGATATATATATATATATATATATATATATATATATATATATATATATATATAGAGAGAGAGAGAGAGAGAGAGAGAGAGAGAGAGAGAGAGAGAGAGAGAGAACACACCTCATTCAATGTGTTGTCTTTATTTTCATGATTGGTAGATTCTCACTGAAGGCATCAAAACTATGAATGAACACATGTGAAGTTATGTACTTGACCAAAAAAGGTGAAATAACTTAAAACATGTTTTATATTCTATTTTGTTCAAGATAGCCACCCTTTGCTCTGATTTCTGCTTTACACACTCTTGACATTCTCCTTATGAGCTTCAGGAGGTAGACACCTGAAATGGTTCTCCAACAGTCTTGAAGGAGTTCCCAGAGGTGTTTAGCACTTGTTGGCCCCTTTGTAAATGGTCATGGTCATGAAAATAAAGAACACACTTTGAACGAGAAGGTGTGTCCAAACTTTTCAGTTTTAAAATCTTGTGTTTATATGGACACTTGTTAGAACATCCATCCATTTTCTGAACCCGCTTGTCCACGCAGGGTCGCAGGGGGGCTGGTGCCTATCTCCAGCGGTCAACGGGCAATCAGGCGGGGTACACCCTGGACAGAGAGCCAGTCCATCGCAGGGCAACACAGAGACACACAGGACAAACAATCATGCACACACACACTCACACCTAAGGACAATTTAGACAGACAGAAGATGGAGTACCCGGAGAGAACCCACGCATGCACAGGGAGAACATGCAAACTCCATACAGAAAGATCCCAGGCCGTTAAGCGAACCCAGGACCTTCTTGTTGCAAGGCAACAGCTCTAACCACGTTAAAACACTTGTTTGAACAACGTAAAAAATAAAGCATATAAAGAAACTGCTGCTTAGATAATAATTTATGTTTTACGGGGAGAAGTGTAACTCAATTTTGTCTAAATAAGATTACTTCTTTAAAAAGATCTTTCTAGTTTGTACCAAATTTTCATTTTCCACATCTGTGTCACACACACATACACACACACACACACACACACACACACACACACACGCACACACACACACACACACACACACACACACACACACACACACACACACAGTGCTGCCAGACACAGCAAAGCAGGATGGAATATCAGAGTCATTCTCCAAAAGCAAGACTGCTCCGGCTGCTTTTGTTTAATAATGGAGACACCGCAGACTTATCCTCGCACTTTTGCTTCGCCCATGTGATCAGAGATGCGCTCTTGACATCTATTGGGCCCTTCCCATCTGTACCGGGTCGGCCCGGGCCGGTTAGCGTAGGTTGTTTACATATCTGGGTGGCCTGGAATTTTCCTGGGCCAACCAAGGCTCATTCTCAGCCCTCTTCTCGAGGGGGTCTGCTTCAGGCCGACCAGGGCCAACACACCCACTGCTGACAGCAAATTCACACCTTCCATTAGAGCAAGCCTCTGATTGGTGGGTAGAATCAGCCCACATGGGCTTAAGGCAAGGATGTGTGGAATCAACCGGGCCAGGCTGGGGCCGACTGGGGCTACCCGGCCCGGGCCGACCCGGTACAGATGGGAATGGCCCAAAAGAGCCACAAACCCATGTGCTCAATCACGTCCGCATTCCGGCAGTGTGGGACAAATGAGGCGAGAGGGGCAGAGCGGAGTGCAGCCAATGCCACAGTGAGTGGCACTTTGGCCAGGGCAGCCCTGTTGAGCAGAGAAACGCTCATGCGCTATGAGTGGTGGACCCAGGGAAGGTGGTGAGAGGGGAGATTGACAACCAGATGGCCCAATAGCTGCTTTTGGTGAGAAAGAATTTATTAGCAGGGGTTTTGAGACAAATGTGGGAGAACCGCTTTATTCATTTTTTATCTCCACAATATATTTCTAGCTATACAATGTTAGAACGTTGTTATGAAGCATGAGGCATGAAAAAAATAATTTGTTTTCCAAATTTGCCATTGCAGCTTTAATTGAGCAGCTTCATCCGTGACGTAAGCTCTTACCATCTGCGGCTCCTCCCCACCCAAAGTCTGTGGAAAGATGGCGTCCATCATGGAAGGGCCGCTGAGCAAGTGGACTAACGTCATGAAAGGTTGGCAGTATCGCTGGTTTGTTCTGGACTACAACGCTGGCTTACTGTCATACTATACGGTACGTTCACTCTAAGCTTCGTGTGTGTTCAAGTGACCCATTTAAGGGAAAGAAGTTGTAGAAGTTGTCGCTTGTTGCTGAACAGAAGTGACAAACGGCCTTGTGTTTGTCAGGAGTTGGGAGTATCAGCTGGCTCGCGACAGGCGGGTGTAAGTGATGACAGATCTAGTCTTTGGCCAATAGCTGTGGCCCTTTTGGTTTACTGACTAATCGGGTGGCAGTACTTTGTCCATACTTCCGCTAGCTATTCCGGCTAACAAAGCTAATATCAGGAACACACGCTTAGCGAATAGTTGTTACGCCTATCCTACAGGGGTGTGATAGAAGGGGTGACATTTGGTTTTGTGAGTTAAATACAATACTCGCTAGCTTACTTGTGATTTAGTAGCGAGAGACTGCGGGCGGTGATGCTGCTTAGTTTTTGACCAGTCTCATTTCAGTGCAGTTT